CCAGATGTACCTCTCTATCTTCTTGTTCTCCGGGGTAACCATTTCGGGGCATAGTGCCGCTAGGTCACTAAATCTATTAGTGTAGGCCACTATGTCTGAGCCCGTCATGGTGAGACCCCAAAGCTCTTCCTCTAGCTTTTGTATTTCGCCTCTCGGGCAGTATTCTTTCATCATTATTGTCTTTAAGTTCTCCCAGCCCATCGAATTAGCCACTGCAAGGGTCAGTGACTTGACATGGCCATTCCACCATGTCAGGGCTCTATCGGAGAAAGTGCAGGCAGCAAATTTGACTTTGCTCCCTTCTGGGCACATGCAAATTTCGAAAACTGACTCCGTTTTCTCGAACCATTGCATTAAAGCAATGACTCCTCCATTTCCACTAAAGGATTTGGGTTTGCAATTCATGAAGTCTTTATACGTACACTCCCTAAGGAGTCTGTGGATATTTTTGTAGTTAGACGGGTTGGCACCACTTCCAGTTCCATTGGTACCACTTATGTGCATATGAGACATGGCGGCTGTTACGGTGACAGTCACCGCAGCCTGGAACATAATAGGATCATACTGTGGAGGTGGTGGTGGAGTATTTATGGTTGTGTTGTTATTACGCCTGATATTTCTACGAGGCGGCATCTTTCTGTCATAAAGTTTAAAGATGGAAGGTTGGCAAGATATTGGTAGTATAAATCGAATGATATAATACCAGAATATTGAGTGTATCATGTTCCAAAGTGTTTTGAAATCAATTCATAAAAGAAGTCTATGTGAACATAAACTTATGAATTTTTCAATAATGAATACCCTTACTGAAGTTTCGTGACTTGATTTGCAAGTACTAGTTGTGATGAAATATAAACTTAACACATGATGTGATAAACTTAACACATGATGTGAGCAGTGAAATCACTAGCTCATTAAGTTAAATTAGTTTCCTTTCTAGTTTATTCCTGATAAGGTAAGGTTTGATAATGATTTCTCTAGGACCTTTCTCTTCGTTCGATCCTTTCTCGGAATTCTCCTTGTAAACCCTCTTTTGGTTCTGTCTCGACTCCTCTGTTGGCTGATTGCGAGGTCTAGGTGTATCGGTTGTGCGAGAATGGAAATGTCTAAAGAATCTACGAGATTAATAAAACACTTTTATTAAAAATAAATTCTTACGAGGATGATCCTTACTAGGTCTTTCTATAATCACTTAGTGTATACAGATTATATATATTCCAAATCAAATAGACCTTCGAATAAGTGATCCTACTCTAAAACCACATCCAAACAAGGAAAAGGAAGTAGAGTGAAAATCACCAATTCTAAGTCTATAAAATCTCAATTATATATAACCTTATGTATACACTCAGTAATTATAACCCTACCAGTAGAGATATTTTAGTTTTCACACAAGTTATTTATAGTACCTAAAATACTCCTATAGTATTTTATGTTTGATTCTAGGATTCCTTTGTGTATAGGGTTGGTAAGTTTTAGACTTGTTGCAACACCACTATCACTCCCAAACACATGTTGGTCATATCTCAAATAAATATAGTTGATCAGGCTATATTGATCCCAAATATGATTACATAACTGTCCAGGTTTGACTGTAGTGTCCAGCATCCAAATACTTTTGTTTTGTTCTTCTTGTGATATTTGTTCTAGTATATATATACTTTTATAAAATATTGTTATATTTTAAAGTATAATTCTTGGTCAGAGTGTTTTAGTCCCATTATATTTATAGTTGTATATCTTTTATAGGTTGATATACTTAGTTCACTATAAACAATGCTCTGATACCAATCTGTCACACCCCCAAACCGGAACGACGGAAACGTTCGGGGGTGGAGGACGTCATGTTAAGTATCACAACACATGCATCATAGAAATCAAAGTAACAACAACCATCCTATTGATAATATAATTTTTACATTATGTTCGAAACATTATTTGAAATACATAAAAAGTACAACAAAAGTTAAGACGTAAAGCTCCGTCTTCGCAACACCTGGGAGAGAGTACATGTCTACTAACAACCTTGAGAATACAAGTGGTTTGAAAAAGTGTCAACATTAAAGTTGGTGAGTTCATAAGTATTTCTGTTATAGAAAGTATATTCTTTATCCTTTTGAAAAGTTCGCCAGTTCCCCCAGAAAATCCTATATTTTTTGCTGTTAAATGATAAGTAAGACAACTCATGATTGTTCCTTCTACGAGTAGTTAGTGAATACAAGTCATATACATTCAGATCGAATAGATATTCGACTGTGTGGTTCTGTCCCAAGCCCACAACCAAACAAGGAACAGGAAATGAGGCGGAAGTCACACATTCCACTGTCCACCAGATCTTTATTATATATAGTCCTAATGTATTCATCAAGTAATTACATAATTAACATTAATGAATCTCTAGTAAAATGGTAACCACAATAGTTCCTTCTATAATCACTTAGTTTTTACAAACTATATATAACCTAATATCGAACGGATAGTTGATTGTGTGAATCTGCCCTAAGCCCACAACCAAACAAGGAACAGGAAATGAGGCGGAAGTCACACATTCCACTGCCTATCAGATATTATTTATATATAATTTGAATGTATAAACAAAGGAATTATATAATTAACCATAATGGTCCTTTATGTAATACTAGTTTATTAATATAATATTAAACTTTTTGTAAATTAGTTTATCTTCCAAAATAACGATGTAAACCATAGAAAATCCTATATTTTCTATAAAACCGATTTTTAGTCTTTAACGCTCCAAGACCGAGAAGCACAAGTATAATTACCATATTTAGCTTAATGATACTCAATTTTGTTTATCAGTAACCCTATCTGAACATGTAATTACCCTGAAAACTCGACGTGACGATACTACCCTCCGTTGTATAATACCGAGATCGAATAGAACGTTGAATGGGTGAATCTGCCCTAAGCCCACAACCAAATAAGGAACAGGAAATAAGGCGGAAATCACACATTCCACTGTCTACCGGACTTCAATTTTTACTAACCCTATTGCATATACTGAGAAATCATATAGTTAGTATTCCTTGGGAAAGTTTAGGAAAAGTATATCTTTATGTAAATAATTAGTTAATACTATTGTGAATATTCATTATAACCATACTAATACAAAGTTAGTCTCGTATAGATCTATACATAAACTCGCGCTTTCCCTTAAGAAGACTCTGGTTATAATTAAGATTCTAACGGGTACCCTGAGTGGTAAATCGAGTGGTTCACAATCCTGTATTAATTATTTACATATAATGTAAAACCTTTTTATAAGAAATTTTGTAAAAAGATTTCCTTTTGTTTCATAAACTATACTTTTTATAGTTTATAAGTTCATTTCCATGTTTTAACCTAGACTTTTGTAAAATAGTTCCTCGGATCCATAAACCTTTATAAGTTGATTTCTATGATTTTAACAAGCTTCAAGTTCAAATACATTTAAACAGTAAGAAAACATAATAAGTAAATTATGTTTTTAAACACAAGCAATCTTGTGTTTTACTTGTATCCCCCCCCCCCCCTTAAAACATTAAAAGGCTTGGAAAATATGGGGGTATGAACTCACCTTATTTGAGGGATTCAAATAGAAGATTTGGT